CCAGCCTTCTGGTTAGCAGTCAAGTGCCTTAGCCACTATGCTACCTGAGCTCCCTATTTAGTGACACTAATTCTTCAAGCTGTGCAATCATCCTCACCCTCCTGAGTTGTTCCTCCCACGTTCACATAAACAGGGAGCTCTAGTGGCATAGGGGATAAGGCTTTTGGCCGCTAACCAGAAGGTCAGCGGTTCAAACCCACCAGCCGCTTCGTGGAAAGCAGATGGGGCAATCTACTTCCATGAAGACTTAACAATCTTCAGAAGAACTAGGTGGTACCCGGCTGCCAGTGGCAACCACTTGGAGGGGGATCTGTGTAGGAGATCTTGGACAGAGTGGAGAGCAACGTGGAACAAAACTCAAAATCATAGAAATAAAAAAGGGGGACCAGGTTTGCTGGTCGGGTAGAGCCTTGTGGAACCCTTGAGACTATGGCCCCTGGCTGCCCTTCGGGTCTGGAATTGAACTCACTCCTGTGGCTTTCAGCCAAACGAAAGACAGGCATATGAGCTGAATGTTTACATTAGGTAGATACACTCATTGGAGATATCAATCATGGGTGAATAGACAGGCTGTGTATGCACAGGGAGACAGTTCGGGGGGCAGGAGTGCATGGGAGGGAAGGACATAGGGAAGAGGAAACTATGGTGAGGAATTGGGAAGAGAGTTGTTGCATTGTGGGAAATTGCAGTCAATGTCATGAGACAGTGTATGTGAGCTGCTGTATAAAAAATGAATTTGTTCTGTAAACTTTCACCCAAATCACAATTTAATTTTTTAAAAAAATTAAAAAAAAGAAAAAAAAAAAAGATTTGTAGTCTTGGCAACCCATTGGGGGTCGCTATAAGTTGGGATCGATTTCATGGCAGTGAGTTTGGTTTCGGTTTGTATTGACATACACTCAAACCAAAAAAAAAAACAAACTCACTGCGGTTGAGTTGGATCCAACTCATAGTGACCCCTCCTTAGGTTTCTGAGGCAGTATCACTACAGAAGTAGATCGCCCAAACTTCCTTCTGAGGAGTGGCTGATGGGTTTGAACCGCCAGCCTTCTGGTTAGCAGTCAAATACCTTAGGCACTAGGCTACCAGAGTTCCTAACATACACTCACTGCCCTCTAAATTTCCTATCTAATCTTTCGATATATAGCAATGGTTCTTAAAAGAGCAGAGCTCTCAAGGCAGACATTCTTCACTAGTGATGTTAAACTATTGTTTGGTTTAAAGACTTCATTGACCCAGCAATTCCATCACTAGGTATCTTTCCTAAAGAAGTGAGAGCCAGGACAAGAACAGATATATGCACACCCATGTTCATCGCAGCACTATTTACAATAGCAAAAAGATGGAAACAACCTAGGTGCCCATCAACAGAAGAATGGATAACCAAACTATGGTACATACACAAAGTGGAATACTATGCAACCCTAAAGAATAACATAGAATCTGTGAAACACCACATAATGTGAATGAACTTGGAGGACATTATGCTGAGTGAAATAAGTCAATCACAGAAGGACAAATATTGTATTAGTCCATTATTGTAAAAAGTCAAGGAAAGGTTTATCTATGGAAGGAAGTTTTCTTTGTTGGTTACCAGGGGTGGGAGGGGAGGGGAAGGAATACTGTTAGGTAGAGACAAGTACTGATTTGGGGGAAGGGAAGGCCAATGTACCAAATGTGAGTGATCAACACAGTGGCACTGAGAAAGAAGAAGAAGACATAGAGAGGTGCATGGGAGGTACAGACAACAAAGATGAACACTTTTGCACATACAGTACTGTGTGGTCAGTGAAGGCAAACATTGGATGGATGGGTGGACAGGCTGAATGATTAGGTATGTCTATGCAGGGGGAGTATGCCCCTGCCCATGTATAGGGTTAGCAGACAACATTTCTACAAGTGTATTTGTATGTTCTGTAAGAATTTCCAGGTATATAGTAGAGCTCACAAGAGAAAAGTTATAGTCTTTTCTTGGCCACAGCCAGCTACCCGGAGGGAACAAGTAGTTGGACCTGTGGGTTCGGGACCATGGTCGCAGGGGACATCAAGCTCAATTGGTATAACCCACTAAACCAAGCTCACTGCCATAAAGCCAGATCCGACTCAGAGCGACCCCTCCTTGGGTTTCTGAGGCAATATCACTACAGAAGTAGATTGCCCAACCTTCCTTCCAAGGAGTGGCTGGTGGATTTGAAACACCAGCCTTTGTTAATGTTTACACCACAGAATTCCTCAAGCTTCACCCTTACCTCATTGAAAATCTAGTCTGTGCGATAAGAATGCGACTGATGTCACTCCCCATCGTCTTTCTTGCAGGATTCAGCTACCCAAGCAACATGAAGATTTTCTTGGTGGAACCTGCCATCTTCCTTAGTGCATTTGCTATGAGTTTGACCATGCCCCTGGCGACACAGTATGTTTACAGGAGAATATGGGAAGAAACAAGCAACTACAGCATTGCATTGGACAGCAATATTTCTGAGTGTGAGAAAAACAAAAGCAGCCCCCTTTTTTTACTCCAGGAGGTAAGAAATGAAAATGGCCCTAAAATGTAGTAACCAAGGGACCATGCGACTGGGTTTTAAATGAAAGAAAGGCATTGCACTCTTCATACAGTAGCCACTCAAGGTGCCCATTACCCATTGCTGTCAAGTGGATTCCAAGTCATGGCAACGCCACGTGTTACAAAGTAGAACTGCCCCATAGTGTTTTCTTGGCTGTAACCTTTATGGAAGCAAGGCCTTTCTTCCCTGGTACCACTGGGAAGGTCTGAATCTCCAACCTTTAGGTGAGCATTTGATCACAAACACTTGTGCCACCCAGGGACCCCAACACAGTACCCAAACCCGTTGCCGCTGAGTTGATTCTGACTCATTGCAATCCTAGAGGACAGAGAAGGACTCCCCCATAGGGTTTCCAAGATTGTCATCTTCACAGAAGCAGACTGCCACATGGTTCTCCTGCAGAGAAGCTGGTGGGTTCAAACTGCAGATGTTTTGATGAACAGCCAAATGTTTTAACCACTGCACCACGGGATATGGGAAATATGAAGAGGAACTGTGTATTTGCTTTGGGGAACCTGCACTCTTTCGGGAGACATGCAATCTGTATATGACAGCTGAAAACCCCGAGAAGGGCGCTGACTGCTCACTGAAGGGAACACAGTAGCCCCCTGGGCGTTGACAGATGGAGAGGTCACTGGTGGTTGGGGTGGGCGGTAGGGAGGACTTGTGGGAAATGGGATCTTTGAACTCAGTATAGAAGGAAGTACAAGCAAGTGGAAAAGGCCGGACGAGGTGAGGAAGGACACTGGTGCTTTGGAGGGATGGGCAGGATTTGGGAATGACAGTGGTGGATGGAGGGCTCTAAACCTTGTCCTGAGGGGCTCTGGTGGTGTTGTGGTTAAGGCATTTGGCTGCTAACAAAAAGGTTGGTGATTCGAACCCACCAGCTGCTCTGTGGAAGAAAGATGGGGCAGTCTGCTTCTGTAAAGATTGACAGCCTTGGAAGCCCTGTGGTGCAGTTCCACTCTGTCCTCTAGGGGCGCTGTGGGTCAGAATCGACTCCACGGCAGTGGGTGTGGTTTGGGCTTTGCTTCTGTGAAGATTGACAGCCTTGGAAACCCTGTCATGCAGTTCCACTCTGTCCTCTAGGGGCGCTGTGAGTCAGAATCCACTCTACAGCAACAGATTTGGTTTGGGTTTCTTGTTCTCCTGGATAAGTCAGTGGATATAAGCCGTGGTACAGCCCCTTGGTGGCTGATCCTCTGCACCTGTGCAGGTGGTGGGTGCTGCTCCAAACTTCAGCCTGCTCAGCTGCTCAGGCCCCCTTGAACAATGGCCTCCTTTTGAAGATTTATACCAACCTTTAAAGTGGATTGACTCGTTTAGCAGGTACTGTTTTTGAAGCAGATTAATGTTGACAGAAATGTGCTGGCCTAGATCACTTCCACTATTGTTGCTACTTAAGACACACAGGTGCTTCCCTTCAGATGCGAAACCAGAAACCACCCTGTCACCATGACAGGGACAGGGCACATGGCCCATCCTGTCACCTGTGACAGGGACAGGGTGCACGGCCCACCGGCACTTAGTCTTTGGACAGAGGGCACGTTTGTTTCCCAGGAGGCACTGCCTCTAGTGCCGTTCAGGACACTCTCTGCTCAGCTACTTGGAGAAAAATCTCATCCCTTGAAGGCTGAGAGCAAGTGTGTCCTGTTGTCTCTAGCACCAGCTCCACCGGGTGGGCTCTGCCACTCATAAAAATTTAATGGTGTATGGGCTTTCCTTGTAGTCCTAAAAATGCATGATGTCATACAGAGTGAATCTCTAATTACATAAATAATTATTTTTATTGGGCATCTTACTATGACACAACTTTTATTTATTCTAGAAAAAACAGCTAACGTAATAACCCCCAAACCAAACCCACTGCCGTGGAGTTGATTCTGACTCACAGCGCCCCTAGAGGACAGAATGGAACTGCCCCACAGGGTTTCCAAGGCTGTCAGTCTTCACAGAAGCAAAGCCCAAACCACACCCACTGC